ACGCCCTTCCCAATTTTGAACCATGCAGTGTTTCCTTGCTCTGTTCTGACAACTGCCTCTTGGTTCAAGTATAAGTTTTGCATTAGCATGATCAAATGTTCTGAGATTCCCATTCTTCAGAGTCAGCCACAGTTTGTTATGATCCACGCAGTCAAACACCTTTGCATAATCAATGAAGCACAGATAGACTCCCTGCTTTCTGCCAAGATCCATCTATCATTAGCTACAATATCCCTAGTACCACGACCCCTTCTAAACTCAGCCTGGACTTCTGGCAGTTCTCTGCTGACGTGCTGTTCCAGTCGTTTTTGGATAATCTTTAACAGAATCTTGCTTGCATGTGAAATCAATGATATCGTTCTATAGTTTCCACTCTGTTGGGTCACCTTTCTTTGAAATGGGAACCAATATAGATCTCTTCCAGTCAGTTGGTCAAGTGGTTGTTCTCCAGATTTCTTGACACAACTTGGTGAACACCTCCAGGGCAGCATCTGTTAGCTGAAATATGTCAATTGGTATACCATCTATTCCTGGGGCCTTATTTTTTGCTATTTCTTTCAAAGCAGCTTGAACTTCTTCCTTCATCACCATAGGCTCTTGCTCATATATTGTTTCGTTAAATTCTTCTGTATCTGCCAATGCCTTTCAATACAATCACTCAGTATATTCTTTCCATCTTCTTTTGATACCTCCTGGATCATTTAATATTATGCCTAAAGCATCCTTGATTATAGCAACTCGAAGTTTAAATTTGTTCTTCAGTTCCTTGAGCTTAAGAAATGCTGAGCGAGTTCGACACTTTTGGTTTTCTAACTCCAACTCCTTGCACATTTCATTGTATTATTTTGCTTTGTCATCCCTCGCTGCCTTTTGAAATCTTCTGTTCAGCTCTTTAGGATCTGGATTAGGTATTATTTGCATGACAACAGTCCAGAATAAGAGACACATACCAGAGTGGACTGGGGAGGGGAAGTGGGAAGGAAAATATGCAACAACAGATGAATGGAAATCCAAGTTTTCTGTAAGCTTTCATTAAAGTATTAATAAAAAATGAAAAAAAAAAGTCTTTGTCTTACTTCAACCTCTGTGTTCCTTGAAATGTTCCATATGTCTTGGCATCAGCCCTCTCCGTAGTCTAAAAGGTTCTTAGAGAAGGGACTCTGAGTCAAAAGGATGGGCTCTATTTCTGGCTGGTCTTTCTTGTGATAATCGTGTGTGTGTATGTGCACAGACACATTATTTTCAATCCTCTCATATGCATGTAAATTGAAGAATAGATATGGAGACAGAATACATTCCCGGTGCTTTCCCTTTCCAATTCCAAACGATGCAGTGCTCCCTTGATCTATTTGCACCACAGCCTCCTGATCCAGGTATAGGTTCCACAAGAGCACAATCAAGTGTTCTGGGATTCCCTATCTTCTCATTGTGAGCCACAATTTTTCATGATCAACATAGCCAAATGTCTTTGCATAGTCAATAAAGCACAGATAGACATTCTTTTGGTATTCCTTAGGTTCAGCCCAGGATTCATCCGACATCATCAATGATATCTCTGGTACCACAGCCTCTTCTCAATCCTGCTTGCTCTTCTAGCTGTTCCTTATCTATGTATTGTTCCAGTCATTTTTGAATGATCTTCAGCCATATTTTGCTTGCTTGAGATATCAATGACATTGTCTGATAATTTCCACCACATTCAGTTGGATCACCATTCTTGGGAATGGGAACAAATATGGACCTCTTTCAATCCATTGACCAGACAGCTGTCCTTCAAATTTCCTGGCATAGACTGGTAAGTGCATCATCCAAGGCTGTATCTGTTAATTTAAACAAGCCAATTGCTATTCCATCGATTCTTAGGGCCTTTTAGCTTCTGCTTTCTCCTTTATTACCACTGGCTCCTGTTCATATGGTACTTCCTGAAATTTTTTAGTGTCAATCAATTTTTTCTGGTAGAGAGACTCTATGTATTCCCTCCATCTTCTTTGGATGCTTTCTAGGTCGTTCAATATGTTGCCCATGACATCTTTCAACATTGTAACACGAGGCTTAAAGTTTGTTTTTAATTTCTTTCAGCTTGAGAAATGTAGAGTTAATCCTTCTCTTTTTATTCTCCAATTCCAGCTCTCTGCATATTCTATTATAATACTTTTTTTGTCCTCTTGGGCTGTTTTGGAAATCGTCTGTTCAGCTCTTTCACTTCAATATGTTTTCCTTTGAATTTGGCTTCTTGATGCTCCAATACAACCTTCAGAGTATCTTCTGACATCCATTTTGATTTTTTCTTTCTCCTCTGAGGAGGAGTGTAGCATCAGGATTACAGAAAAACTCATCAATAACTTACCTTATGCAGATGACACAACCTTGATGAAAGTAAGGAGGGCTTGAAGCACTTGTTGCGGAAGAACAAAAAAATGCAGCTTCAGTATGGATTGCATCTCAATATCAGGAAAACAAAGATTCTTACCACCGGATGGATAGGCAATGTCATGATAGATGGAGAAATGATTCACAATTAACATCCTTGGTACCAGCAGACAGGAAATAAAGAGACACATTGCACTGGGAAAACCTGCAAGTAGGAACATTCCCAAATTATTGAGGAGTAGTGATGATTGTTTGAAGACTAAGGTATGTCTGATTCAGTCTTTCCCATTACTAGCTATGCATATGAGAGGTGGAAAATGAATAAGGATAACAGAAAAAGAGTTGATGCCTTTGAGCTGTAGTGTTGCAGAAGAGCCTGAACATTCCATGGATGGCCAAGTGGACACATATGTCTTGGAGAAGGTGCATCCGTAGTGCTCTTTGGAGGCAAGAATGATGAGGCTTCACCTCACATAATTTGGGTATGTTGCTAGGAGGTGCTATTCCTTGGAGAGGGACATGATATTGGGAAGGATGGAGGGTCAGTAAAGGAGAGGAAGACCCTCAACCAGGATTGACAAGTAACTGCTACAATGGGCTCTTGTGTGTCAGGAAGTGTGAGGATGGCGTAGGATAGAACTTTTGTTCATAGGTAAAAAATTTCGCACCTAAAAACGCAACAATAACAACACATGCCTGTGAAAGTTGGACAGTGTACAAGAAAAACCTCAATAATTAATGTCTGAAATGGTTTGAAGAATCTTGAACATGTAAACTGCTGATAGAACAAACAAATTAGTCTTAGAAGTGCAGACAGAATGCCACTTCGGCCCAAGGGTGGAGAGACTTCCTTTTCCACATGTCTGCGCATGCTGCCAGCAGGAGTCAGGCCCTGGAGAAGGTAAGAGTCAGGGGGAAACCGTGAAGGTTTTGAGGATGGGGAATGATGAGGTACTGTTCTGTTCTTTTTGTACACAGGCCAATATGAGTCAAAGCCTGCTTGGTGACATCTAACAGCAACAACAAAAAGTAAAACTATGACCACACAGAGGAATGAATCCAATAGGTCTTTTTTCCTCTCCACAAAGGGTGTTTGAGAATGTTGGTTATCAGTGAGGATTTTTGCTCTAGATTGCAAGTTGGACTGTAACATCTCTAAAATTAGTCATTTCCAAGTTTTTCCCTTGGAAATCCAAAAGAGAATAGAAATAGACCTGGATGGCTTTCATCTCAGACTTCTACATACTCTGATACTACGCCTTTTCAATACAATAAAAGACCACTAGGTGGGGCGGAGGCAGAGTACCCAGCCCAAATAGGTAGCAATCCCAAATAGCATCAGATCCTACTTGGACTCTCAAGCAAAATAAAGGAGATTTCTGATGGTACCAGTGCCGCGGCACAAACAAAAATAAATGGATAGCCAATATTATTTTCTGATGTCTCTTTGCGGACTCTTGGGGTGTGGAGCGGAGACACCAGTCTTTGAATAGTCAGGACTGATACCCGCAAAGTGATTTAAGGGGGTTGGGGGGAGAGTGGCAAAGCAAAGGTTTCAAAGGAATGAGTCAAAGGATTGCAAAGCACTGACAAGTTAACTGTATTCGTCACTTTAAAACCATTTTGGCAGAAAGACGCTCTGAAACTCTTCGCAAAAGATTTTCTTGCTAAGAATCCATGACCACGTCTGGTCAGCCATTAACAGTAGCGGTTAGCCACTGTGCCTCGTTTTCTCGCCCCTCAATGAATCTCATTTCCTCTACCTGCATAAGTGAATCAACTCATCCGCTCTCTGCCTTTCTAGATCACCAACCTTGAGCGTATAAACATTTCCTTAAGGTGACACGACATCCTCACTACTGTATAACATAGCATTTAACAGACATGCCACGGAGAAAGCAACACTAACACCCAACTTCGGGCGGAAAAACCAGGCGCAAGCGTACTGGAACATTGTTGCCAAGTCGGCCCAGTCTCTCCGCCTCACTTCTGAAGTTTTACTTCCGCTTGGCACATTTGTTTCCGGGGCATTGTAAGCTCGCCTCCTCTCCAGCGCCTACCCTCTTCTGCCCGAGGAGGGGAGGGGGGGAGCCAAGGGGGTGGGGAAGAGTTCGTTGTTTGTTTACACGATGTGAGCGGAAAAAGAGACCAATAAAGTTTATTCTGGAAACAAAAGGGGAAAAAAAAAAAAACCAGGGGCGACAGAGAAAGAGACGGGGCGGGGGCGTGTGACGGGGGCTAGAGAGGAGAGGGAGCTAGAAGGGGAAAGCGGCAGTTCCGGTGCCGCCGCTGCGGCCGCTGCGATCTCGGGCTGCTGCTGCCGCGGCCGCTGGGGCTGGGGCCGCTGGCCAGGCAGGGCTCGGGCCCGGCCGGGCA